TGAACTTAAATGATTTTAGCAAATGGCTGCAATATAACAGAGTGAAACATTTAAGGGGGTCTGAATACTTTCCGTACCCACTGTATATATATATATATAATTACTTGAAATAAACATTAACTGAAATAATATATATATCAAAAACATCAAATTACTCAAATTGCAAGTAAAATGAAAATGAAAAAAAAAAATCTAATAAATATATTAAAAACTATAATAGTACACTATATAAATAAAACTAGAACAACACTGATTCACATAAGGGTTCAATACTATACAAGACAAATCTGTTGCAATACTGTTTTATGGCATAACTACCTTCAAGAGTTTCCATTCTAAAAAAAACAAAAAAAAAACAGGGCTGCGTTTCCCAAAAGCATCGTAAGCTAGCTTGATCGTAGAGACCACTGGTGGCAATGGTTCTACGATCTACTTCGGCTTACGGTGCTTTTGTGAAATGGAGCCCAGATCTATTTATTGATTTTACAATAGGGGCATGAGGAACATCTCCTTCAAAACACTTCAAACCATGTGATTCACTCATTCAAACAGGTCAACCCTGAATCATGCAGAGAATGGAGCATCTTAAGGGACCTTTTGCACCCTTTGTTTCTTTTGTGCTTTTTTTTTATAAAGTTCATTCTGAATCACAAGAGGCCTGCAACAACAGCAAGCAGCGAGTGAACAACAAATGTCATGTGTAAATTGAGTCCCACTGGCTGAATGGAGAGCAGCTCTCAGCCTGAGAAAGGTCACGCTCACCAAACTACACCGAGAGCCTCAGAAACAAGAGTGAGAATCAGCTCCTATCAGAAAGACATGATGTCCTCCGGCAGCACAAGGAGGAGGCAGCCAAACCGTTTCATAAGCAGATGAAATGCTGACATCACAAAAGCCAATCTCTTGAGGGAAAAATCACAAACTTTATGAGACTTTATGCAGGGCAGAGACGTACTCTTAATAATGCATTGCTAACTTTTACACCAAAACCACGCTCATAAAAACTGCAGTTTACACTGAAAGCACCTCCAGCTCTCTAGAGGACCAGATTTAATCTAGCAAGTTTTTTGAAATAAAAAACAATCCTGAGCTACAATGTTTCTTTCTCTCACCATTAGGGAAAACATACAGAGCGAATTTGCAGCGAAATTGGCTGCTGAAAGATTAGCTTTGCCATCACAGGAATAAAATACATAAAACATAGAAAAAAATAAGAATAACATTTCATAATATCACTGTATTTGTCAAATAAACGCACTGGTGAGAACTAGGGACTTTCAAAAAATAAAAAAAAATCTTATTGACTTTTGAAAGGTAGTACAAAACTTGACATTTGAATATATAATTCACATTACATTATAAAATTCACATGATATTCATAGAAATGTGGTTAGTTATATATAAAAATATAACTATACACATGTCTTGGCACATTCCAATGAATATCAAGTGAATTTTATGGGTGTGACTGTGGCATTACCTGATTTGCATAATTACTATAATTAACTGGGCGCTAAGACAACACTGTCAGCAGGTGCGGTTTGTTCCTAACGAGAGACGGCAGTTTTTGGGATAAAAATATGTTTAAAACTTGCAGGATCACATTTCAGACTAATTTGGGACACTTTTATGAAACACAGATCAAAAACATCATAGATGACAGCTCAAACATCAACTGATTTTATTCATTTTTAATTCAGAGTCGGCAAAATTAATCCAGACGGGAAACGAGAGATCTTGTGATGTGTGAAGACGGCACCATCTTTAGATTTTACGCAAGCCAGAAAAAATGACTATGCATAGAAGTACTGATAAATGGAAAACTGATTATACACTACATGTACATGAACAAAGCAATGTACATGAATGCTCGAAAACCGCACACAGTTTAACACTAATTATGCGACTGGTTGATTTTGTCATTTCACACACTTGTCAATATCGCACTTGTAATAATGGGACTCTTCTCTAACACATACAGCCACTTTATTAACATAAGTGTTAATTCACCTGCATAAACACATCAGCATCACGTGAACTCTAATCTAGGATTGTCCATTAACTGAGCGCAAGTGTTTTCATTCAGCATCACCCGCATTCTGTGATGAATCGCATTCTGGAAGAAATAGAAACTATTCCAGGCGCGTTAGACTGATTCGCAGCAGTTCACAGTACAGGCCTGTTATATTTATACCATGACAAGATACTATACCAAAACAGATTCACCCACCCAGAAACACACACAGTGTGAGAACATTCAAAGTGCCACATTTTTCAATCATTTTCACAGAACTGTTTGTACATGCCATTTAACATCCAAACACCCAGAATAAAATCAGTTATAGCATACAATACTACAATATATAGCATATAAACAATAATAATCTAAATGTTAAAATATTAGTTAAAATTCATTTAAAATGTAATACAAAATTTCATGAAATTATTCCATAATAATAATAAAAAAAATTATCATATTTTCGCCTGTGAATTGAATTACTGTGTCCCATTTTTCTCTGTGTAAAAAGAGTGTCAATTTGAGGCTTTGAAGACAAATAGGGTACAACATGAACAACAGAAGTTAACTGAAATTAATTTAAATCAAACTAGTATTTAATCGAATGTAATTTATTTTATTAATTTAATTAAATGAAACCTTTAAAACCTAATATCTAATACATCTAATATTTAAGGTTAAATTCAATTCAATTTTAAATTAAATACATTCATGTTGGTGTTAAAAAGGAGTCAATTTAAGGCATTGTATGCAAATACAACATGAACAATTATATTCAAAATGTTAAAATATTAGTTAATTGAAATTAATTTTAAATCAAACTAATACTCAATTTCAAAACTAAATTTCAAAATCTAAAATTTAATGCAACTTAATTTAATTATTTGATGAAAAATAAATATACACTTTTATACTGCTCAGAGTATGACATGAACAATTATCATCTAAATTGTAAAATATTAGTTCATTTAAATCATTAATAATACTGAAATGTAATGAAATAATCTGATTTTCACCAGTGAATCGAGTCGCTGTGTCACATTGCTGTCGGTGTGAAAATGGAGTCAGTGAGCAGTAGGGCACATCAAACAAGCGCTTATGACGCCCACTGAGTGTGTTACAGAGAGGGTGACTGCACTCTGTTTTCCCGCGGTCTCGCACCTGCAGGTAGAGGGTCTTCCATCAGCGCTCTGGCACTCAGGTGGCTGCTGAGAGACTCTATGAATTCCAATATGAAAGCCTGACGCACGACCTCTGCGTCAATCAGACCCCAACACACAATCCCAGCAGTGTTCCTCCAGAGCACAAGAACACATTAGGAATCCGAACATTTTATCCTGCCACATGTCTACACTACCGGCACAGATAGACGGGAAAATAACTCTGAACTTTAGAGAAGATCTTATTTCTTTGAACCCCAGAACGTCTCATCACATTCACTCCTCTGAAGAGCAGCAGATCACCAGGCTTTCTGAGAGTGCTGCTCACACATGCACAAGAGTGAGTCAGCTGGTGATTTTTAGCGCATTGCTGTGTCCTCAACGAGACAAATGGTGGTCTATATTGATATATAAAAAAACTGAGAATTTAAATATATTCCATTTGTTGTTATTAACAAAATGAAGTCCATTAAACATTAAAGATTTCTCAAACTGGGGTTAGTGAAGAAACTGCAGGGGGGTTGTGAGTTTAATGAAAAGCTAATAATGAATTAAATCATAAAAATGTCAAATTAAAAACATTTTAAAATGACAACAATCAAAATAAAACGTGTACTAAAAAAGATGAAATATTGTGTTTACCTGCAGGTCATATGATCCTTAACCAACATCAGAGAACCATGAACTTGCAAATGTGTTATTAACTTATTATCTTAAAATCTCAGGGGCACTTCAAGTTAATTTATTAGGTGAAAGAGGATCGGATGACAAAAAAAAAAGTTTGTGAATTCCTACTTTACATGCAAATAAGAAATAACGTAAATTTGTGCATTTTAATGTGTTTGAAAGACACAAGCCTTCCAAAGACAAAGACTAATCATGTAAGCAATACAAAACTAACTGTAGTCTGATTACAAGTATTTTAAAATGTAATCCAGATTACTTGTAATCAGTTACTGCCCGGCACTGTTCCTGCCTCAACATAAAAAATTACAATAACGCTGTGAAACAAGAAAACGGTTGGCTCAGATCAGGGACTCTCAGAAAACTCTCCTAGTCTGCGACAGGAAACTCAGGTCTGACTTCCTGCTGGCTGTGAAAGCTTGCTAAACCTTCATCTTCACAGTCACGCTGGACGCGGTTTGGCAGAGGAGTTGAGAAGAGAGGCATGAATAAAACAAAACACAACTAGAGAGAGAGACACACACACACATCCAGATTCATAATTCATGGCTTTCATTTCAGCAGCCGCCACACTTCTGATAGAGCAAGAACAGAGCGAATACACACAGGTGCACACGGAAACGCTACATGCCCGACACATGCACAAACTGTTGCACTGATGGGGGGAAAATAAAAATATTCGCAAACATTCTTGGCCATTTCTGACTGCTGTTTCTAAGCAACAGCAGCATGTGTTAAAGGGAGAGAGAGAGTTAATGTAAGCGATGCTCCCTCTACACGACTGCACATTTCTGATGCTGCTCCAGCGCAAAACGAAAAACTGCACAGAAGGCTGACTCAAAGCTCAGCGAGGAAATAAACTTGCTAAATGAATGAACAGCATTTCAATTAGCTCATTAGAAGTCAACATGAAGCCTCCCCGGCAACCCATTTGACTTCCAGAAAACAGTGCTGACAAAAAGTTGCCCTAACCAAACAAGTTAACATTAAGCAACAGTACTTCCAATTTTATCAGTAACTATCATGTTAACAGATCACACAGTCTGGTTTCTGCTCTGGTGATTAAAGGGTCTGACCAATAGAAACATTGCATTATGGTGAACAGTAGTTAGCAAACAGCACTGAGTATGTCTACTTACTTATTTTGCATCATGTTCATTATGACCCAGTCGGCAGGATAGACGTTCTTCCCAATGAGATCCTTAAACATGATGAACGTCTCCATGAGGAAATCCTAAAGGAGAGTCGCAATGTTTGGGATGAACCGGACATGACGACAACATGCATTTTACATTTTTAATAAAAAAAAAAATAGTTTTTTAATTGATTCTATGATTATAAATATGTATGTATGTATGGATATATAAATGAACATTTAATGTATTCATAAAAGTATAACTGATTTTACGATTTATATATATATATATATATATATATATATATATATATATATTTATGCAAGTGACATATCAATAGGATTTCGGTACAATAAACAGTCCGGTTTTTGTTTGTTTTGATTTTCACATCACTTTTTAGATAACTGGTATCAATCTCAGACAGGTTTGTTCAATAGTTTGCCAGGTCTTCTTAGGTAAATGGAAACCCTACTTAAAGAGGTTGTTCCACATTATTAAGCAAGTCACAGTTCTCATGCGATATGGTGAGGAAGAAAGATCTTTCTGAAGATGAAAAGTATGAAACAATGTGATTTCTTGCAAAAGGCATCAAAACAAACAATGTTTTGTGAAAAACAAATAGAAATTATTGAACTGTCAAAAGATTTGTGAGTGACTTAGAGCACAGAAGATCTTGATCAGATAAAAATTTATTAAAGGGGTGGTTCAGTGTTTTTTTTCTAGGCTTGATTGTATTTATGGGGTGCAGTCTAACATGTTAATGCTTCGTTTTTTTTAAAACACATTATTTTTCTCATAATTTACCTTTATTCCACACCACTCTGTCCCTTCTCTGAGAAACGCGCTGATCATTTCCTTCTTTTATGAAGCCCCTCCCTTAGAAATAGGCAATGGGCTCTGACTGGTTAGCTAGCTTAGTGTGTTGTGATTGACTAAACTGCCTCTAGTGCACGTCTAAAGTGCACTGAAGTTTGCATTGAACTTTCAGCTTCGTAACTTTGCAGATATTGTTTATGCTCAAACAGCAACATTACACACTAACTAACGTTAAAAAAGTGAAATCGCAATCAACCACCCCTTTAAGGAAAGTTTCTGTCAAACAAATGAATTGTATTGTAATGCCAGCTGTAAAGCAAACAGGTGTTTGAAGCTACTGGAGTCTCAAGATCCTCTCCATGCAGACTGACAGTTGTGTGTTTCAGTCACTGCTATCCAAACCTCACAAAGAGAAACCTGCACAGTGGCTTTTTAAAAAATAAATCAAAGCTTTTGATCTAGCTTTAAATGTTGCTTTTTTGTACATTACAATGTGTCATGTTTAATTTAATTTTCTTCTGAGCAAAAAAATTACATCTATCATGCATTTTTACCATGAGTTACAGAAGACACCCACTAAAATATCAGTCAGTGTTAACAATAGTTCACATACCAAAAAAAATAAAGTCAGGTATATTTACAACAAGATTCATTAGATGACATTAAAAGACTATTTAATGATCACAGTGCAGCACCGAAGTACTAATTAATTGTAACTTTGTCTACATAATCTTTGCATACATTTTACCCATATGTCAGAAAGACGTTTTAAAATGTAAAATGCTCACTTTTTCATTAATATTAATTTTTTTGATAAGTGCAGATCAGAATAAGTACGTTGTTTCATTTTGACCTAAATATTAGGGCTGGGTAAAAAATATCAATATCTCCATATTAATCGATTCTCATTTTTACGGAACGATATCGATTCTTAAACCCCAAGAATCGATTAGTCTAGCCTGTTTTCAGTTAATGGACGGAACATTGAAGGGTACTTCCCATCCAAAATATCGCAATAAGCATTGTGCTTTCGTACTTTTAATATGAAACAAAGTCTCAGATTTCAAATTCTGTCCATTGTATTGCAGTATTTAAACAATAAATGCTGTTTTGGCGCTGTTTAATGTGGAGTGACAGATCGCTGTAGCGCCTCAGTTCAACAGACGCGGCAGCGCGAGGCGCACGTGAACTGATCATCTCCTCCACATTAATACCAGTTTCAGCCCAAAATAAACATGACTAAACATCCGAAGGTAAGTTAAAAGAAAGAGTACAACTTTACAATCCGTATCCTGTCTCATGTAATCGCTCAATCAGTGTTTCAGCCGTGCAAATACGTCAATATAACGGCTTGTAAAGAATGTCACGTAACGTCAAATTTACCTCAGAAAAAACATATTCAGTAACCATAAACTCATTAGTCAGATAGAAAAATAAACTGTAGAGAGGGGCATTTTGCTAAATATATGCACCAAATAACATATTCATTATAAATTGTACTGTTTCTTCAATATTTAATTTATGATTGAATAAATCCATCAAGTTTTTATGACAGCCACAATTATGTTCATATAAAAAAACTAACTGAAGTTGAAATATTATTATGTAATGGTAACTTGTATTTTAAAAACTTCATTAAGTGTAATTTTAAGAAATCGGTCAGTTTTAACCTTCAATATTATAATGTAGTACCAACTGACTCATGCATATTTTACAGCATTAGTTGAGAGATTTTATTTCCTTGAGAAAATGTCGCATTTACTGTACCTGATATATATACAAAATAATCTATATTGAATCAAATCGAATCAAATTGGTAATCGAATCGAAAGCTTGTGAATGAGAATCAAATCGTGAAATTTGTGTCAAAACCCAGCCCTACTAAATGTTACGCTGAATGATGAAGGAACATTAATTCACCCATATTTTGACATTTTATTTTTATAAAAGTTATTTGAAACATTTCAAGTAGACACTTTACTTGCATGTAATATTTGCTTCTGTGTATAAAAAAACACTTATGTAAATGTAATTTGATGTGGACACAAAATGGAACCCATGCATGTCTTTTGTCCAGCTATAATACTGGTTCACAGATTGATGGCACATTAATGTCTGTCAAAAATGTTTACATGTGGGAGTAAAGAGTCTTGGTATTGAGCGGGAAACTTACCACCACGTCAGTGCGCATCTTCCCAAAGGTGCTGATGAGGTGGGTGTAGTGATAGTCGTCCATCTGCCGCAGAGTGCCGGTCATACATGCCACAAAACTGCCCTGCAAAGACAGACAGACAGACAGCCGATCAGTGACAGCAGAGCACCTAGAGCACCTGTCAATCAAAGCAAAGAGCTGCTGTTAAAGGCTATAAACCCTTCAAAGGAACCACACAAAGCCACTCTACGAGGAGAGACAGAACAAAATGAAGGCGTGCAGCAATTCCAAAAAGTATTTCTAATTAACAGCATTTCTGACAAAGTAATGTGGTGAACAGTGAGCGTTTGATATCAATATTTAAAGCAGTGAGAGACTCACTGAAGGAATCGAATGATACTTTCACTTTCCCACATATGGGAATTGAGACCAATATAACATGCAATTAACTAGAAACCAATTGCTAAAGAAATGAAACGGAGGGGAAAAACTCATTTAAGGTTCAAAACACAACAAAAAGGCAGTGAAACACCTCGAACAAGCAGTGGGAATCGAATCTGTGCAGCGTATTAGAAAATGTCACATTACCTGCTGAAGAAACTATTCAAATGTCATTTATGTAACATTAGAGAAAAAGTTAATAACTCAAGCATAACTTATAGTATAAAGCCACTTTTACTATAAAACCTGAAAATAAACAATAAGCAAGTGCATAGTTTCTTTACATAATTTCATCATTATTACGGAGGACATTTTTGACCTTCTAGGTAAAATAGATTCACAAATTTTGTAATTTCAAGGCTAAATTAAAATCAATCAATCAATGGATTTTTTTTTTACATGTTGAATTTATGCTCAAATATAAAAAATACAGTAAAAAGTAATACTGTGAAATATTATAACTAGGGATGCACCGATATCACTTTTTCCAGTACTCGCCCGATACAGATACTTTTATTTTAGGTACTTGCCGATACCGAGTACCGATATCAATATTTTTATTGCATTTGTAAATTTTTTAAATATTGTGTACAGAAACCAAAAGAGTATGTATATTGTTAGTTGGTTAACTTCATTTATCAAATATACAGTCAAACCAAAATTTATTCAGACACCTTCAACATTTCTCACATTATCACAGTTTATTCGCTATAGTTTAGAAAATGGTAATAAAATATGACAAGAACTCAGAGTTAAACTGTGTCAGAACAAATTAATCTTGATAATGTTAGATAACTTTGATAGAAAGGTATGTAATAGATTACAATCAACCAAAATAATTCAGACAGCTGTTAGTGTGACAGTATTTACACAACTCTCAATACTTAGTCAGGCAGCCCTTAGCCTTAATGACAGCCTGTAGTCTCCTGGGCATGCTGTCACCCAGCTTCATGAAAACCTCAACTTCAATGTTTTTTCCCCAGACTCCATCTGAATGATTTTTGGTCCCAAATTTGTATCAGTTTTACTGGTA